GCTTTTTTCATTAGAGCTGTAAATATTTTACGAAGGTAGTCAAATAACAAGTTTTATAGAATCATATGTGGTGAATTAATGCCCCCAAAGTTATTTCTTTTTTTAAAAAAATTAGCCTTGCTAAACTGAGAAAAATAAAATATAGTCAAAACTACCAGAATATTAAAATTTAGAGGGCTTCTTCCTCCATGGGAGCACCAAAAAGCTTGATAATTTTTACCTCTGCGCTTTGTTAATAATTTTGATACAATTAACAATAAGATATGGTTTTATAACATGTGATACAATTTGGTAATTTTATCACGACACCTTGAAGTACACCGTCAAAACCATTAATTCGATTGAATTTACTTTTCAGTTTTGTGTTTCGTACAAAATGTAGGGTAATCGGAACTATAATTTTAAAAACCAGAATTCCCAGTAAACCGTTACCATATGAATGAAAAACCACCAAATGAATGTTTAAATACCGTATATTTTTAATTTAAATAACATAATTATGTTATTTTTTTAATGGAAATGTCATTACCATACAGTTCGGTAATTTTGCCTGTTTTTCCTTCGTATAAACCTATATTTTTAGGATAAATATCTTTTTACGACTATCCATTTTAAAAATAACATATGGTTTACTGCCATCAGTAAAACATTTGCAGTTTAATTGCAAAAGTGTTGACCATGCACTTTGTAATTTAGCTGCAAATATTTTATTTATGGAAGTAGAATGTCAAGTTTTATACAGGAAATCATCACTAAATTTTTAGCCGAACAAAAAGTACTTCAAAAATTTATTTTCAAGTTGTCATCACGAAATCTAAAATTTTTGGACATTAATATTTTTGACTAGTGTTAATCTATAAAATGTTGTTTTACTCTTCGCATTTCAATGGCTATTTCTTTTCAAAAGCATTGGAAATTTACATAGTGATATGTGATTAAATTCTTAACGTTATTATGGGCATTTAAAAAAATGATATCACACGGCAGTCACCAATTTTACGACATAAAGATTTCCAACATGTTCAAATATATACATGATCCTATATCTTTAAAATAAAAAACCTATTTTCAGCCAGAAACAAAAAAGCAAACAAATTATGATTTATTCTTATTTATTGTATGACGTCATAAATATAAGTATTGTAAGATTTATTGTAAGATATATTGTAAGATTTTTGAGTTTGCACAACTTATACCAGTCAGTAAGTGAGTTAGCGACAATCGTTTCCCTTCTACGTTACTTCCTTCTGGGCCATTTTTTTATTTTTAATTGAATCAAATTTTATGCGTATTTTTTAAATGTGTAACAAATGAAAAAAAAAATCATCTAAAAATTCGATTACGATATTTTATAGGAAATTTAGATCATCAATCAATTTTTAGTTGATCAAAAAGTACTTTAAAAATTTCATTATTCATAAAGTTCCACAAGCATTCCATTATTTATGTGAAAAATTTTGTTTTTTTTAATCATTGTGAGTACTTTTAAAGGACGTTTTTGTTTTATAACTCTGTCGAGAAAATTTTTATAAAGTGATATCCTAAGATTTTAAATTCGAATTATTGAATTATTTGCTTTTTAATTTTCACTAAGTTTAAAAAAATCATTTTTGAAGGATTTAGCCATAATTTTCAATTGCTTGTTTTCTATATATTTTAATATACTTTGAAATAGAAAATAATTGAAGTTTACTTGCATTATAATTTTATGCAATTACTGACGTTTACCACAAAACTGTAAGAGTATATAAAATATTGAAAACAATACAACTTTAAATTCAACGAATTTTCTAAACGTGTAAATGCATGATAAAAATTGCTGCTCAGCTTTCAAGAAGTTATGTTTGCAAATATTGGATAATGTCGAAAACATTCTACTGTTTGAGTAAAAATATGTAAGAAACAGTTAGCAAAAATAAATTATGTACTTGAACTTAAAGGCAAAATATTTTAAAGTGAACAAAAATCTTGTAATACGCTTCTAAACAGAATATTTAAATTAGAAAAGGCATATTTACTTAAACAAAGCAAAAATTGTTATGAAATTTGATCTATAACCCTTTAAATGCGAATTCTAAATAAAGATTTGAATTTTTTAAAAGATTGATAGAGGGCAGCACGAAATACTTTGATTTTAATACTAGACAAATCCTGAAAAGTTTTAACAGGTAATTTAGAAATTTAAACCAAGTTAAGTTTAAGTACTAGGCTCTTGAACTAATGAAAAGTTTGAAAATATTTTTCAAAATATTTTACTTAAATTTTTTTCATTTTTACTACTAAATATTTCTGAACTTTTTAAGATTTTGCTGAATAAATATACTTTTTATGGTATGAGAGAATAATTAGATAATGGAATAAACATGTAAAGCTGTAGCATATCAGATTAAAACGTAAATATAATTTTCGGTACTTGATATAAAGCAAAATTGAGTTTGAAGATCTTATCTAGTAAAACTTTTCATGTCTAAATCTACAGAATAAATAAGCTCAGGATAAATTATATTTTCATCAAAATTAATAACAAAAATCAATTTAGAATAATAAAAATGCGTATTTATTACATTCTACGTGTTATTTTGAAAGCTTGGTTGTTTAAGATATAAGTTTAAATGTGTATATTTTTTAATCAGTAAATGTTATTCATTACACGAATAGTTTAATAGAAGCAATAATGAAAAAGTGTGGTGCGCAAAATAAGAAGAAGAAAAATTATAACCATGAATAACTTTTGATCTAATGATTTTCTAGAACTAGGACACAATCTTAATGGTTCGAGAGCCTTATTTTAAATAGTATGCTATTCAATTTGTGTAGATGATATTTAAGTTATTAAACTAGACTCAAAAACGTACTTTCTCTGAATAAGCATTCCCTTTTTCATCTCATTTGGTTTCTTGACCCTTAATATATGATGGGTAGTCACATTCTGGAAAATATGGTGTTAATAGTTTAGGTAAGAGAACTTAATGTTAACTTCAATTTTGGAATAGTTCCAGGGATATCTCTAGAACTAATAAAGCAAATCAAAATAATTGTGCACGCAATTATAAAGCTTATTTAAAAGGTATTTTCATGTAAAAGTATTTTACACTTATTTGTCATTTTTATTTATTCATTTTTTTAATGGTCGGAAAAGTTTTGAAAGGCAAGCTACAGAAATACTTAAGGAAACTCAATCAGTATTATTTTAAATGGGAATACTCATAATTTATGAGAAATTGACTTAGTAAAACAAAGAGACAATAATTTTAATTTTTAAATTTTTTTCTTGAGAAACAATAATTTGAACTGGCTAATGTTAAAAGGAGTATGTTACAAATCTGCGCTTTCGCAGAAAAACTGCGTCAATTGTGAAAAGATTGTTTAAATTGCTTCCAAATCGTTGGATTCTCTTCTTTAGGCAGTCTAGAAAACTACTCGGTATTTGACTATCGGTGATTGATATTCCAAAACTAAAAAAAAAAAAAAACTTTGTTTCAGATTACAAAGTAGGCGTCAAAATTTTCAAAAATAATCATAGATGTGATGATAAATAAATACTAAAATTTGTTTAAGAAGCATTTGTTTATGTACCATGTGACGTTAAGAGCATACATATGGTTAACATAATGGAGGACATTTTGCATATTTTTTAATATTATTTGCAATGAGTAATTGTTTTAAAACTTGTTTTAGAGTAAAAAGTTAGCGTCAATTTTTTAAATATGTCCATATTTGTGAAGATATACAGGTGATTATCAAAATAATGGAAACAGTTGCGAATAAAAGGGACATTTAAGAATTCGCTTCATAAGCATTGAAATATAATCTTAGCTACCAGAATTTTTTAAATATAAAAAGTACATATATTAGGTGGTATGAGAGAGCTTTAGCAGAGTTGTCTACGTTTTGATTTTTTGTCAGAAGCGTAAAATGTCAGACCTCACAGATTTTCAGAGAGGCCAAATTGTAGGAGCCCGACTAGTTGGAGCAACTGTGACCGAAACATCCCAACTTTTAGGCGTTTCTAGAGGTACGGTGTCTAAAGTCATGACAGCATACACACAGCGCAGAAAGACAAGCTCAGCAAAGTAAAATAGTGGACGGAAGGAGAAGCTGAGTGAAAGAGATCGACGGGCATGGGGCACGGGCATTGATTCTAAACAAACAATCAATTGCGGGTGCCTGGGTGGCGAGGTTGTCATAGACTTTAACATAGCGAAGTTTAAAAATAAAGTGTTTTTAACTTATATTCTGAATTTATTTAGAATATTACATATATTTTTCAATGGATAGTGTACTAAACTTTAAATTGTGTTGCCGTTTTAATTGAAAATTTCCTTTTAAATGCTGCAATTTGAGGATTTATATTTGATCACTCTGTTTACATATTTCGTGTGATTTGTAATGTTATGGCGCAACTTGATTGGAAATAAATGTATAAAATATCTGCATTAAAATTAATAATATTATTTAATATTTAGTGTTTTATTTATTTTAAAGCTGATATATATTAAACACAGTTTTGAGTACATCATAGTCAATCAATCTTATTAATTTATGTTACTTTTCTTAATAGTATTTTTATCCTGAATGGAACTTCTGACTTTTATTTCTTTTAAAAAACTTGTCTTCTGAACTTTGAATTGGGATAGATTTATGATTCATTTATTCCATTTTTATTTAGTAAATTGTAGGTTCCAGTAGAATCACCATATTTTTAATGTTGTTGCATGTTGTTTACTTCTTACATGTTATTTACATTGTTGTTGCTACTCTAACATACTTACTATGCATGCATCAAAATGATGTACATATATAAAAATTAATATCATTACTAAAGATCTTGTATTTTGTTTATGTTTTTTAAGTCATTAAAGCAGAGTTTATACAAAAATATTTATTGTGCATGAGTGTCTCTCAAAAGAAAATTTTAAATTAAAAAAAATCTTGTTCTGATCCTATTTAAGAGTATTTACATTAGTGTTTAAAGCTTTTCTTAGTTAAATAATGGCTAATTGTATGAGAATAAGTTTTTATTCACATTAAAATGTAAATCAAATACATAAATTATAGAAAGTATATGCAATGTTCTGTCACACATTTAATACTAAAAGTTATTGAATCACATGTATTTATTTAGCAAATTTTATCGCAAATATAATACTGAGGAGTGATCTACCTCCTCGCCGTGTACACTTCTAACATATTTCTATGGCTAAAAGATCTATTACTTCTGGCATGTGTTCTAACTCCATGGTCAGTTTGACATGGATGATCATCACATTATCCATTGTAATACCATTTGTAAGATTATTGTTTCCAAGTGATACTAAAAAGCAAAGGGAGAAATCTTTTATTTTATTTATTTATTTTTTTGTGTGATCAATCATTTGCATTATAAGTTATTTAAAATTTGTTATTCTTTCTCCTTCTCATTAAGCAAAATAAAAAATTTTGATTAAACTTTTCTTGAAACACGAAGGATATTTCTTAGTAAATAAAACTAAACAGCATTTGAATTATTTAAGAAGAATATAACTAAAACTCTCTTATGTTTTTAATTCAAAACTGTTGAAACTCAGAAAAATACACTTGGAATTAACATACTTAATAGACATATGAATTAAACTAAATATATTTTGCTTTATGTAATGGCAAAATTAAAATGGAAGTCGATTGTTAGCCTGACAGCAATGAGCAATTCAAAGGTGTTTGAATAAGACATCACCGATAAATATTCACTATGATGACTATTAAGCTGTGTACATAGAAATTTCTTTTTTTAAATTTTCTATTCTTAGAAAGTCTTTAAGCGGCGATTTGATTAAATTTGTTTATATTTTCATTGTTTATCTATTTCAATGAAACTATTTTTTTTTTAAAGAAAGAAAGAGAGAGAAGCTATTATTTAATTGGAGTAATTATTATTAAATATAGATAGCTTTATCATGACATATTCTAATACAATAATTTTGATGTTTTCTAATTAAAAAATAAAAAAAATTTGATATTTAAAAAGGGAATCAGTGTTGCTTTTCCAAATATTTTATCAAAATGGTATTTTATAATGCTTTTACCCCTGTATGATTATGCATGCTACCTAAGTAGTGTTATAAACTATGCTAACACTTTAATGTGTGAACCTTTTCATTTAACAATTTCGTTGATGTATAAAGTAGCAAGAATAAAAGAAATTGAATAAATTTGCAAAACATAGTGGTAAACTTGACATTTAGCGATAATCGATGTACTTTTATTTATTTCATTTAATGCCCAGGTCAGTTGCATTAGAAATCATCTTGATTGATACAGGTTCAATTCTAGCAAATAATATATAAGTCATCTCTGATAGAGTTAGCTATATAGGTAAGAAGAGTTAATTACTATTACAATAAGTTTTACATTATTTCACTGATATCAACAGGGTGCTCTACAAATGGGGAGCTGAAATTTGTAAGTAAAACAGACACTATATTCTTAGAAGAGCAAATAACAGGTATGCATTTAGCATGTGATTTGCACATGCACGAGGCGTGCCTCTTACATGTAGTTTTTAAACAGTCACTCGTATATGTAAAACATTTGAATATAATGTTGGCTAATGAACTTGCTGCTAAGCCTCATGGTCCTGAGATAGAGTAGCGGATTCATAAATTATAGTTTTTAAAGAAATATTTATCACCCAATACAAACTATAAGAAAAACTGCAAGAAATATTAGATTTTCACATGCTTATGTCAAAGCTGAGATAAGTTTTTACCTGAAATTATATGCTTTGAAATAAGATAAGTGGCAATGAATTAAAAAAAGAAAAAAATAACCTAACACATTATTTAAAAACAAGAAGAAGAAAAAAATAAAGCATTTACGCAGGATATTTATTATATATCTTTCTCAAACCTCTTCTTTATGTACTTCATGGATATTCAACTAATTATTTAAATAATAATTTCCGAAGAAAAATTATCATTTCAACATAATTGGGTTATAAAATATTATATAGCTTAAATTCCGAAAGCAAGAATAGAAATTATTTTACAATAAACCTTTAATCTTTAAATAAATTTCTTTACATTTTTGTTTTTTTCCCCTTTATTTACAATTGATGCATTATACTGGCTGGAAAGCATACAAATCCTACACTAAATTCAATGTTGTTTAATAGACAGTTTAGGACAAACATGCATAATGACTAGTAAATTTTAAGAAAATTTAAAGAAAACAAATCAATACAAACATACGCACCTTCATACTATGCTATCACCGTGTTGTGGAGTACCTTAAAGTCAGACTTAATTTTGAAAGAAGTCTTCATGAGTGTCCTTAAGGATTGATGCGGCTTAGAAGGGGCAATAGGCGGAAAGATACTTGATATTAAATAAGAAACAAGTTTCCTCACTAAAGCCCCACTGAGCCATTCTGCATCCTTTGAAGATCCAATTGAATAATATTTTTCATTTCATCATGTCTTGCTTTAAATAATTCCATCTGCTTCTTCACAATTTCTTTTGAATTGTTTTCTCCATACAAAGTTGCATCCTAAATTGAAAGGAAACAAGTGTGAGGGAGAATTATAAAACAGGCATTATACGTAATCTACTAAATAATGTCTGAAGTAAAAAATGAACAACTATTTCTTATATGAATCATAACAAACATTATCTTTAAGGGGAGAGCCTACTAACCTAAAAATAAGAATTTTTTTTTTATAAATATCATCAAAATCTAACTAAAACATTTGAAAAAATTTGATACATAGAATAAATTAATTCTACTCTTAATAGACAAAATAATTAAATAATAATGTGTATTTGTGAAAATATCAGCAAAATCCTTATTGGAAGCTCTGCCACCCAGAAGTTCATTAATAAAAACAAATCAATTTTAATGTACATTAAAAAAATTTTGTTTATTATTTTGCTCTGTTTATGAAACAAGCATTATATTTTATCTACTTAATTAATATCTTGAGTAAAAAATCAAAAACTATTTTTAATATGAATCATAACATATTATCGTTAGAGAGAGCACGCTCAACCACATAATAAAAGACTACTTTCACAAATATTAACAAAACCTAATTAAAACATTTGAAAATATTTGGTATATATGTTTAGAATAAATTAATTCTACTCTTAATAAACAAAATAATGAGTATTTGTGAAAATAACATCTAAATCCTTATATTCGAAGCTCTGCCACCCAGAAGCTCAACCACACAATACAAGACTTCTTTCACAAATTTTATCAAAACCTGATTAAAACATTTTAAGAAGCTTAGTACATTTAAAGAAAATAACTAAGTCTACAGTTAAAAAACAAAAGAATTAAATAATAATGTGTGTTATTAAAAATATCAAAAAAATCCATTCACTCAAAGCTGCCACCCGGAAGTTTATGTACCAAAACAAAGCAATTTAAACACTGTAGCAAATTTTTTATCCCTATTTTGCCTTATTTTTTACACAGGCATTATGCTTAATTAATATCTAATGCAAAAAACCAGAACTGTTTCTTATATGAATCAAAACAAACATCTCTAAGGAGAGAGCACACTCTCACCCGCAGAACAAAAGACTTTTTTAAACAATTATCAAAACCTAACTAAATTATTTTAATAGATTTAAGACATTTCAAAAAATAAATAAATTCTACTGTTAATAAACAAAAGAATTAAATAATAATGTATAGTAGCAAAAATATCAGAAAAATCCATTCATTCAAAGCTCTGCCACCCAGAAGCAATTTAACAAAAACAAAGCAATTTAAACGCACTGAAACATTCTCTTTATCATTATTTGAACCTATCTATAATACAGGCATTATACTTAATTAAAATCTTACGTAAAAAACAACAACTATTCCTAATTTGATTCAAAACAAACACTATTTTTAAGGAGATAGCACTCACCCACAGAACGTACGAATTTTTTTACACAATAATCAAAACCTTACTAAAATATATTATTATTATTGGGACATACATAAAAATAAATTAATTCTACTTTTAGTAGATATAAGAATAAAATAATAACGTGTGTTCCTAAAAATGTCAGCAAGAAAATGTTCTGCCACCCAGAAGATAATAATCATAAAACAAAGCTATTTCATCATATTTAAAAAAAAATTGACAATTATTCTGACTTATTTATGAAGCATACATCACAGTTAATCTAATTTACTAAGATCTAAACAAAAAGCTTCAACAATAATATATAGTATGTATCATAATAAACAACATCTGCAAAATGAAACAGAACTTACTCAACACCAATAAAAATTTGAATTTTTTTTTCTTATAAAGACTGTCATAACTTAGCCAAAACTTACTATAAAGTTTATTAGAACTCTATTCTACACGAAAATCGACCGTTAATACTTCAATAATTTAAGGAAAATTATAAAATTTGCTAATTTATTACAAAATGACATCAGAATCCCATAGACTTACATTAGAGTGCTCGCCACCCAATTGATTGTAAACAAAGATCGTGACGTCACGCGCCCGTGCCCCATTGAAGCGGATTGTAATGTCTAAAAAGAAAACAACTGCAGCCAAAGTGACCGCAGAGCTCAATCAGCATCTGGATTCTCCAGTGTCAACAATTACAGTTAGGAGATACCTTCATAAAGAGAACATTTACGGCAGAACAGCAATTACCAAGCCTTCAGAATCTAATGTGTTTCCATTATTTTGATAACCACCTGTATATACCCAACATTTTTAAGGAGCAGTTGCTTAGTACAAACTATGCTACGTAAAAAGTTATGCTACGTCATCCCTCCTAAGAGCTTATCTTTGGGTTTGAATTCTCATTCATACTGAGGAAGTGGGGTACAGCGCTCATCCCATAGCACCATTGCAAGAGATGTCATCAACCCTAAAAGTGGGATGCAGAGCTCATTTTTCTTTTACTGATATCAAATTCCTACATAAATGCTTACTACAACATAAATTGAATAACAAAGTTTTTTTAATGCTGAAAATACATAAAATCTTTCGCATTTAATATTATCAATTTCATTCTTATTTGCTACATTATGTTCTTTATAAGGAGACCATTTTTTTACAACGTTAATTAAGTACCTCATATCTAATGATGGCAAATTCATTTATACGATGTTTACAGCAACATAATGTCCAGCACATCATCTATCTCCTAACAATGCTTTTATCGCGCATATTTAAGTTACTTGATTTGTTTCGGAGCAAAAAGTTTTTATTATTTTCCATCTAATAAACAGAAAAGGGATAGAAAGATTTAAAACATTTTATTTAACTATGGAGACCTAAGGCATAACTAAATGATATTTCGAAAGAAACAAATTCTGTATATATATAATACCGTAACTATAACAAAACAACGTGTCTTCTCTTAAATTTTAAATTATATTGTCGTATAACGAAAGGAAATGAAGTTTAATCCATGTTGAAGTTATTTGCTATTGTTTCATATTGTTATTGTCTTAATGAGACTTGGTTGGAAATATCGGTCATCCCTTAAAATGACAGCCGTTTAATAAAAAATCAATTAAAGAAGAGCGTGTTTGTTATATATAAATATGTTGTATGCTGCGTTTCCCCCAAGGATACAAAAAATTTATTCTCAATAAGTCTCAAAATTGGTCACAGATTTCATCATCAGATGCTGCTGGTGAAAGAAAAAAAAATAAAAGAGTGTTTTGAAGCAAATCATCTTTTGCAGCAACAACGTTGTCTGAGGTCAAAATTAACAGACCCTCGCCTAAATATTTATATCGTAAATGATCTGACATATAGCAGAAAACATAGTTTTATGGCTTCTCAAATCAACAGTGCCATTTCCTGATGAATTTTGTAATTAACTTTGAAATTTAGAGGGAATGAAATAACTGCTTCTTGAATAGAATGTTGCAAAGTGTAAATTATCTCTTTTCGTTTTTCTTTAAATGATATTTTACAAACCATCAGTCATTTTATGGGGTACCTGATAGGATAAAATTATTAAGGGTTATTATATATTTGATTACAATTGTTAATTAATTAATTGGTATAACTTTTTCAGAGCATCTGTTCAAAGCTATTTTTAGTCTTTCACTATATCCAATAATTCAATTAGTCTTAATTAGTTACTTAAATTAAACTTAATTCACTTTGCATGACACGCGGTGTTTATAAGAACAAACGAGAAAAATATATTTTAATTAAAAATTAAAAAAAGTTTTTTTGGACGTGAAAGTTTTAGAAATTAGCTGTTTTAATGATTTAAGCTGCTATTTCCAATATTCATTTTAAATATGAAAAAGCTTTCTACAACTCATTTCAAATTATTTTTTTGTCATTTTTTTAAAAAAATATTGACCGAAGAAATCTCTTTAAACATACTTTGGATTTCTTCGTGTTAACATAATTTCAAGTATTACAAATTTAAGTATTTTAAAATAACACTTGTTCTTGTCTGAATTCTTATTCAGATGGATGCTTCACATATGAGTTTGAGTAGTATGTTATATTAAATATATTATTTTTACACTTTTTTTCTTAAAAAAGAAATATCACACTATGGAAATGCATTCTATTAAAATTTTGTGCCACTTTAACTCTAAATGCATGTCTTGTTTAATATACTATGGCTTTTTAATACGTGCAAAAATAACAGAATAGCTATAAAACAGGTAAACAATTATAGTGAAAAAAAAAGTTTTACTTCTTAAAATGACACTTTTGCTGCCTCTAAAGTCGCAACCAAGCTTACATAAATAAGAAACTGCTTAAAAGAAAGTGTATTGCTTCTACTTAAAAAATAAAAGGAGGTTAATATCATGTCAAGAAATCAGTTTAAATTTTTATAAATTAAATTATTCCTCTCTTTTTTTTATTTTGAATTTTGAAAATTATTACCTTGATGTTAATTTCAATATTATATCTTTTTAAAAAGTGTGACATTTCTGAAAATAAGATGACAGTAACAGTTTTGGCTTTTAGAATATTGTGACAACTATTGACCTTTAATTAAGAATAATATTCTTTCAGGTAGTTTTTTGACTTTTAGAAAGGCTGTATGAATTTCTTTTTGTTATCATCGAAGTTTGATGGTTAACGGAGCATAAATAACGGAGAAAAAGAAATAATTTGCTTCAAAATTTATTACAAAAATGAGAACATTTTCTTTATTTTATGAGCAAATTATGAAATAAATGATTGTAAAGGTCTTCTTTTACAAAAAATAAATGAATATATAAATTATGAAAAACTGATTTATTTTTCAGCAAATCCCTTGATACACCAACCAATGCCAAATTTCGCCCTTTTATTTTAAATATTAAAATTATAACCACCTTTATAGTTTTTTAAACTTTTTTCAATCAATGTAATTGTCACGATCAATTAAAAGGTGAGTAAGAAAATATGCAATTAGTGAGCACACATCATTCATTAGATGAAGTTTTTATTAAATAACGTCATTTATTAAATGAAGCACATTACTCAGGGCTGCATATTATTTTTTTAAAATTTACTAAACATAATTTTAGTTATTAATTATTGAGAATAATACATATCGTGATTATCGTCAAGAAGCAAGATTAATTTACTTAATATTATTATTTTTTATTTAACCACTTATTTTTCATTTTTTTTTCTATTTGTTATGTGGAGCATGTGGAGATCCCTATTTCTCATAAGAAATGGTTGTGAAAGGTAGAAGAACCTGGTTGGATTAGAAATTTTTTTTGAAGAATGCACTAAAAATTTGAGATTGATTTCTCAATCTCAAACTTTGGTCTTATCACAACGGCTGATGTTGAATCATTTAAGTATTTCGTATTCCTGTCATATGCAAGATAATGTTTTTTTTTTAAATTTTTTTATACAGAAATATTTTTTTAAATAATCAACCAAAGTATTAATCTTAGTTGTTTGAGAGATTAGCCTCAAA